GCTAAGACCTGACACAATGAGACCAATCAATGAAGACCAGACTAACAACAATAGATCAGATAAAGAACACCCAGACAACAACAGACAAGACAAACAACACACAGACTACAGCTGTGACCTGACACTAACAGATAAGACAACACAAAGAGAACAGACCAGAAATCAGGACCAGACAAACAATAGATCACCAGACAACACACAAACAAAAGATCTGACCTGACATAAATAGACCAGACAACAGACAGGCAAACAACAATGGACCAGACAAACACAGACAACAGCCATGAACCGGCAAAAACAGTCAAAAGTACAAATAGAGAGAGTGGTAACAAGATGGGAAGGGCAGGGAGCGAGCGACATGCTATAACAAAGGACAGGACAACTTAGCACCAGCTGATTGAGGGCCTATGCTCCATAGTGAGATAAAGAGCAGAACAAGAAGAATACCTGACATAATAAACATAAAACAGTGTTACTAATGCTACCAGAAACAACAAATGTTGAAAAAGTATACAAACAAGGCAGAAAAAAACCAACCCTATCTAAATGACATCTGCACCTCAGAGTTTCTCAGTGTGGGTGCAGGGCTCGGTTTAGAATGGAAAAAAAGTAGATCCATTACTTCCTTAACAAGCATGTTGTAAAAGCGACTAAATAGGGATGCTTCCTTCTAAGTTGGAATGCACATGCCTGAGAGGCAAAGAACCAACAGTCTGCACACAAATAAGCCTGATCTGCAAAATGGATGTGCATGCAAAGCTGAAGTCCTGGAACAAGACTAAAGTTAAAAAGTGGGCAAACAACCAGAACTTTCTGCCAGAGTTTACAGCCGGCAAACGTGAAGAAAAAGAATAAAAGCATTTGATGTTTCAGCAGCTATGCTAACAGTTGCTAGTTAAATGTGGCCAAATATTTCAGTTCTGTAAACAAATATACATCATCATGTAGCAGGTCCTTTGCACTCCTTCCTGGTACCATGCCTTCTGCTATAATTTTTCCCAATCCGTCGTGGCACTTGATATGACCACAATATTTCAGCTTTCGAGAAAGGATGCTGTTTATTCCTTGATGTTCAGATCTTTTAAGATGTCAATATTTCTCATCTTCTTTGTCCAAGATATTCTGAGAATCTTTCTGTAGCATTTCAGCTCAAAAGCCCAAATTCTCTTTCTTAAGGACTAAGAGATAGTCCACGACTCACATCCGTATGTTGCCACAGGGAAGATGCATGCTCTCAAAATTCTAATTTTTATCTCCTTGCTGGTGTTTAACCATAGACTTTTAAGGCTGTTCAATCTTTGCATTGCTATGGCCATCCTCCTTTTAATTTTTGTCGAGCAGTCTCCATTGCTGTTTATTATAGAGCCTAGATATTCAAAGTTTGTTACATTTTCAATTTCTTCATCATTTATAGTTATTTTTGGGTGACAGCCAGTTTTAACAAATATACAAGCAATCATAAATACCTCATGATGCTGAATATCACTGAAGGTGCTAATGTAGTCTAGGAAACAAGTATGCTCTAGCTTGTACTCTGCATTCTCTAGGAACAGTGGACAGTTTGACTTAAGCTACATGACGAGAAGCTGACTGTGTTACTGATAATTCAAGTGAAAAGTCCAGGATTGCTTTCATGCCATTCTCTAGAAACAGCGGAAAAGTTAAATTTGAAAGTCTAGAAGATCAACTTCCTTGCACCAAGTTTTATCCAATATGGCCCAGTCTCTTTAAGCAGAATGATTAGTCGAATGCCGAGAGCATTGCATTAAGTACGAACTCCGTAGCACTGGTAAGGCAAGTAAAAGTCCAGGATTCCTTTCATGTCATTCTCTAGATACAGTGGACAGTTTGACTGAAGCTAGCTGACTGTGTTTCTGATAAGTAACAAGTCCAGGCTTTCTTTCGTGCCATTCTCTAGATACAGTGGACAGTTTGACTGAACCTAGCTGACTGTGTTTCTGATAAGTAACAAGTCCAGGCTTTCTTTCGTGCCATTCTCTAGATACAGTGGACAGTTTGACTGAAGCTAGATGACTGTGTTTCTGATAAGTAACAAGTCCAGGCTTTCTTTCGTGCCATTCTATAGATACAGTGGACAGTTTGACTGAAGCTAGCTGACTGTGTTACTGATTAATAACAAGTCTAGGATTTCTTTCGTGCCATTCTCTAGATAAGGTGGACAGTTTGACTGAAGCTAGCTGACTGTGTTTCTGATAAGTAACAAGTCCAGGATTTCTTTCGTGCCATTCTCTAGATACAGTGGACAGTTTGACTGAACCTAGCTGACTGTGTTTCTGATAAGTAACAAGTCCAGGATTTCTTTCGTGCCATTCTCTAGATACAGTGGACAGTTTGACTGAAGCTAGCTGACTGTGTTTCTGATAAGTAACAAGTCCAGGATTTCTTTCGTGTCATTCTCTAGATACAGTGGACAGTTTGACTGAAGCTAGCTGACTTTGTTTCTGATTAGTAGGGCTGTACCAAATAGTGATTTTCACTATTCGACCGAATAAAAATATCGGGACCAACTTTTCGGCCTATTACGAATAGTGTATAGTGTATAAAATATATATAAAAAAACTAACTTTTATAATGTCAAATGTATTCTGAACTTTTACTTCACATAAAGTAGCACAGAATAGTCATTCATCATTCATCTTCCTGGCTGGCCTTCTCTTCACAAATTGTGACAGCAGTTGTTTGCAGGTCTGACTGGACATTATCTCTCGAACTTCTTTCTTGTCTGCCTCGTGGTCTACGCCCATTCCTCTCTCAGGTGTATACAGTTTTACTTCTCTGTCATCTGAGATTCTTTCAGTATACCCCAACCATTTTAGTCTGTTAGCTCTCATGATGCCAGTGATCATTGGTGATTTAAACAGATTATGTGTTTCGTTGTTGCTTCTCACTCTCCATTCCCCGCTGTTAGCATCTTTGATGGGTCCAAAGATTTGTCGTAAGACTGTTTTCGAAAACCTGTAATAAGGCCTCATCTCTTTTATTTCTGCTTCAAGTTTCAGCGTCATGTAAAACGACTGGTCTTATCAACGTTTTATATATTTTGATCTTGGTGTTGTGAGACAGACACTTTGACTTTAGCAGATGTTAAAGGGCATAGTATACTTTATTTCTAGATTGTATTCTAGATTTTATTTATTCTCTCAGCATGTTGGAGCAGTTGAAGTTTGCACCCAAGTACTTATATGTTTCCGTTCGTTTGATTTTCATATTATCGACTTGGATGTGTTCGGAGTTAATATTCTTTCCATGTATAGTTAGTATTCGTATAGAATAGTGATCATTTAAAAATATTTTTTGTTTTGCATCCTTCAATCAGTCTGTGGTAACTAATAACTAGGAATGAAAGAATCCTAAGTATTATAACAAGTAACTAAACTTGGAAATTGTCACTGACAGCTTAGTTAATGCATGAAAGCTGCATTAACTTTCAACAAAACCAATCGTTCCATGTTGTCAGAATTAAGGCCGTATATGCAGAAGCAGGTGTAAGGTAACTACTATTCGTATTCGGCCCGACCGCAACTATTCGGCCAAATACTGAATAGTCAATAGGTCCACTATTCGGCCCCGAAGCGAATACAAAGTGAATATTCGGTACAGCCCTACTGATTAGTAACAAGTCCAGGATTTCTTTCGTGCCATTCTCTAGAAACAGTGGACAGTTTGACTGAAGCTAGCTGACTGTGTTACTGATGAGTAACAAGTCCAGGATTTCTTTCATGCCATTCTCTAGAAACAGTGGACAGTTTGACTGAAGCTAGCTGACTGTGTTACTGATGAGTAACAAGTCCAGGATTTCTTTCATGCCATTCTCTAGAAACAGTGGACAGTCTGACTGAACCTAGCTGACTGTGTTACTGATGAGTAACAAGTCCAGGATTTCTTTCATGCCATTCTCTAGAAACAGTGGACAGTTTGACTGAAGCTAGCTGAGTTACTGATTAGTAACAAGTCCAGGATTTCTTTCATGCCATTCTCTAGAAACAGTGGACAGTTTGACTGAAGCTAGCTGACTGTGTTACTGATGATTAACAAGTCCAGGATTTCTTTCATGCCATTCTCTAGAAACAGTGGACAGTCTGACTGAACCTAGCTGACTGTGTTACTGATGATTAACAAGTCCAGGATTTCTTTCATGCCATTCTCTAGAAATAGTGGACAGTTTGACTGAAGTTAGATGACTGTGTTACTACTGATAAGTCAGGCAAACAGTCCACGATTTCTTTCATGCCCTTTTCTAGATACCATTGACATTCTGACTGAAGCTATGTGCTTGGTTACTGATAAGTCAGGTAAATAGTCCAGAATTCTTTTCATGTCACTGGCACACTTGGTATATGATGCCAACCATTGTTGAGAGATTAATCTGCACTCAGTGAGTGAATTCAACATCCTGCCTGCCACCTGTACTAACCAGGATATTTCCTAGTACTCATTTTAGGCTGGGTTGACCTAGGAGCCAATTTTACCAATTTAACTCGCTGCAGATTTTAATCCAAGACCTTCTGGTCACCGGTCAAGTGTCCAGCCACTGCCAGCAATGTGAACGTGATTTGTAATTTTGAAACACCCGATTCAATTCCAGCTGCAAGCAATCAGGCAGCAGACAGCTCTGCTTGATTCCCAACAGTGATATGCGGAGCCGACCTTTCACACAGTAATGGCAAAGAGCTGAATGTAAAATTGTCTAGTAAAATCGCAAACAGGCTAAAACGGCTGGAGTTGGATCTACAGCGTCCTGTAAAAGATACGCTGCTAATTTTGTATTTCAGATGTTCAGCTGTTGCTGGAATTATAGCAGAAAGGACTGTTTGCTGCTCAAGGTCAACAGTTTCACACAATGTCTATAAATATCTGCTGTTTCTAGCACCCTTAAACCAAACATACATCATGCTGCACAATGTGGCTGGAACACAGCAAAGATGAAACATTAAGCAAGATCTCAAGCCAAGGATGGAAGATAACTATAACCAAGATACCAGAATTGGAGTCAACAGTAGCCCCTCCCTTGATTATCATCTTGACCATCTTGGCACACTCTTGAACTTGACCTCTGTAGGGTGGAGAAACATTGCACCACAAATTATAAACATCTTCTAATGTACACATGACATTCTACAAATAGCCAGTTATTACCAAAATAAGTACAACAGAAACAGTTAACAGGAAAATAGATAGTTCAGTAGACACAGCTAAATATAAAGGTCATGTCAAGGTACTCCTGTGTAGATACATGAAACAACCAACAGCCAGCCAGTCTGCCATCCAACAAATGAACAGTTAATAGAACAAAGAGTAGCCGGTCAGCCAAACAACAACAAAAACAACAAGTGATTCAGTCACCCGACAAAGAGCCTTTCAGCCAAGCAACAAGCATGAGAAGCACACTGGACACACATGAAGTCTTGTTAACTAACATAGGACTAGCACTATTAACCGTGCAACGCTGATGAATATGTTAAGAGGGGAATCTCAGCGCCTATGGATGTGTCCGGAGTGCTGTGAACATAATCCTACTCATAACAAATGAATAGTTAATAAAACAAGGAACTGCCAACTAGTCAACCAACAAAAGAAGTTAATAAACCTAACCAAAAAACAATAACACACAACAAACAGCCAGTCAGTCATGCACTAAACAGCCAGTCAGTCTTTTAAAAAAAAACAGTCAGTCAGTCTTCCAACAAACAACCAGTCAGTCAACCCACAAACAGCCAGTCAGTCTTCCAACAAACAACCAGTCAGTCAACCCACAAACAGCCAGTCAGTCGACCCCCAAACAGCCAGTCAGTCAACCCACAAACAGCCAGTCAGTCTTCCAACAAACAACCAGTCAGTCAACCCACAAACAGCCAGTCAGTCGACCCCCAAACAGCCAGTCAGTCAACCCACAAACAGCCAGTCAGTCTTCCAACAAACAGCCAGTCAGTCAACCCACAAACAACCAGTCAGTCAACCCACAAACAACCAGTCAGTCAACCCACAAACAACCAGTCAGTCAACCCACAAACAGCCAGTCAGTCTTCCAACAAACAGCCAGTCAGTCATGCACTAGACAGCCAGTCAGTCTTTAAAAAAAAACAGTCAGTCTTTAAAAAAAAACAGTCAGTCAGTCTTCCAACAAACAACCAGTCAGTCAACCCACAAACAGCCAGTCAGTCATGCACTAGACAGCCAGTCAGTCTTTAAAAAAAACAGTCAGTCAGTCTTCCAACAAACAACCAGTCAGTCAACCCACAAACAGCCAGTCAGTCAACCCACAAACAGCCAGTCAGTCGACTAACAAATGAATAGTTAACCAATAAAAGAACAGTAAACAACAAACACTCAGTCAGTCACCCAACAGTCAATCAGTCAGCCAACAGCCAGTCACCCAGAAAATGAATCATTAATTACCCAAAAAATTAATCACTTGAGGAATCTACAAGAAAAATACATCATGTCTGCTCCATATCTGTCCTCAGTGTAACCTTGACACCACTAAGATCATCAGAAAGCAAAGATTATGTAGGAAACTACATTTAAGACTGGCAAAGCTTCATTACAACGTGTATCTAGTTTCCACATTCATATTATCTAGTTTCCATATTAGTGTCTAGTTTCCACGTTACTGACTAGTATCTAGTTTCCACATTAGTGTAGCTTTTTTTTTCTCCAAAATTTAGCCTTGTAATTAGTTCCCACATTCATATATATCTAGCTTCCACTTTACTTTCTCCATTACATTTTTGTATCTAGTTTCCACATTACCATGTTATATTTTTTTTCTACATTTACATTTATATAGTTACTACATTACTGTCAAGTTTCCACATTACTGTCTTGTATCTAGCTTCCCATTGACTGTCTTGTATCTAGCTTCCACATTACTGTCTTGTATCTAGCTTCCACATTACTGTCTTGTATCTAGCTTCAACATTACTGTCTTGTATCTAGCTTCCACATTACTGTCTTGTATCTAGCTTCCACATTAAAGCCTTCTATTTAGCTTCCACGTTACAGTCTTGTATCTAGCTTCCACATTACAGTCTTGTTTCTAGCTTCCACATTACTGTCTTGTATCTAGCTTCCACATTACTGTCTTGTATCTAGCTTCCATATTACAGTCTTGTATTTAGCTTCCACATTACTGCCTTGTATCTAGCAAAAGAAACCGCATAAAAGAAACTTGTCTGTTGCCAGCTCTTCCACCTCGTGTACTTTCATATTCAAGGAGTCATTTATATTCTGTGTCCATCTTCGTGTTGGTCGGCCACTGTCCCTCCTTCATGGTACCATGCCATGGCGCTTGATATGACCAAAATATTTCAGCTTCTGAAATAAGATGCTGTTTAGACAATCTTCCTTAATGTTAAGACCTTTTACAATTTCAGTATTTCTTCTCTTCTTTGTCCATGGTAATCTGAGAATCTTTCTATAGCATTTCAGCTCAAAAGCCTCCTATTTTCTTTCTTAAGGACTGGGAGCTAGTCCACGACTCACATCCGTAGGGTGCTACAGGGAAGATGCATGCTCTCAAAATTCTAATTTTGATCTCCTTGCTGATGCTTAACCATACTTGTAATACTTTTTAATCTAGTTTCTATTTTAATACGTATTTAGCCTCCAGGTTGTGGAGTGTCACTGCAACCCAATCACTTATGAGCTCAGCTCAATATTACATTATAAAATTAATTAAGTTAAACTACAAACCTCTTGACATCTTGAGTGAACTGTGTGCTAACTGTGGATGGCTTTTTTTGAGCTGGTGCTTGCCATCTGGTGCTGATGAGAAGTATCTGAACAGTTTCCTGGTTTGTCAGCAGTACCATAAATTTATTCTGTAAGAATAAAAAAAGTTTATATTAAAAAAAAAAAAATACAAAACAATACATGCAATAGTTGAAACAGGAAAGCAAAGAGACATAACAGGAGAGAAATAGATGGAGAAAGAGGAAAAAAAGAGCAGCAAAGGGGGAAAAATCCAGAAGGAAGGAAATAAAGCAAATGAAAAAATAGTAAATTTCAGATGGATATATACAGATAGAAAGACCAGATACAAAGAACAAATAATTAGTAGTAGTAGTAGTAGTACATTTTACCCCCACTAGGACATCAAAGAAGCGATAAACACCCGATGACACAAAGTGCCACCATGTGGATGAGGATCACCGTGGAGGTCTCAGAAACCGGGTTCAGCCATTTGACCATATTTATGGCCGGGCTATATTGCGGCTTCCAGGAAAAGCTAGGGTGGGACTTAAAATAATGAAAGATTGCATCCCACAAGGGTGTGGCTGGGAAATAGAACGAATAATATGTAAATACTGAACAACTATTGTGAAATTCAAATACTAAATGTTTGATTAACTTTCACATTGATCCCTGTCTACTCAAGCTAGTTACCAAACTAGAATTACCTGCAAAACTTTAGTAGTATGTGTTCACTATTGGCCGATTAATGTGCCTAGCATGCCTGACTGCATACAATTGTGGGTCCTGTACATTCTCTTTTGTTTATCAGTCAGGGAAAACAGTTCACTGTCCTGCAGCTGTCACCAAGAGGTCACCAAGGGAAGCAACCAAGATTATATTTGTAACCAAACACTTCAACACAAATGTCACCATATGGAGGGGAAGCCAGCTCAACATCTCTCCTTGCCTAAATCATTGTCTTCTGAAAAACGACCCATGCCAGTACTACAAACCCTGTATCTCCCAACAAGGTTATAAATGAAAAGAGAATTACTGAAAGAAACAAAAAAGGAGTCAATTGCAATACTTTGGCCACAGTAAAAGACATACACTTTTAAAGACCGTACTAGAGGGAAAGGTTGTAGGCAACAGAGCAAGAGGTAAGCAATAATACAAGTGGCAGGGCAAGATCAAGAGATGGATGGGCAGCAGTGTGAGAGACTACACAACCAAGACAAGAGGCAGAGCGTGTTAGAGATCCATTGCAACAAACCTTTACCATCACTGATTGATTGATCTCCCAACAGTTTTTTTTTAAAAAAGTAAAGGGCCCTTTTTCACAACTTCAGGCAAATTGGTCATATAGGGCTAGACCTATATTTTATAAACTAATCGGAACCTGGAGAGTGATGTGGACAGTCTCACGCTGGCCGTCTTTTCTTCCGAGGACTGCACCTTGTACCCACTCAAGGTTGGGTCGACCTGGGAGCCAAAGTCATTTCTGAAAAAGTCTGTCTCTGTCAGGACCATATGTCCCAATGCAAACCAGAAAATATCAGTACAATCGCAGACAACAAACAATTACCAAGGTCACATAGAGAGACCAGTCCCTGGCTAGTGTGCAAAAAGCCAGCTAAACACCCCCAAGTTAACTATAGCTGGAACAGTCTGTGGTTCAGGGATTATGTACAGTTTCAGAATTCTCACATACCAGCTTCAATTTCACTGCTGACAATTTGGCAGACAACAAACAATTACCAAGGTCACCTAGAGAGACCAGTCCCTGGCTAGTGTGCAAAAAGCCAGCTAAACACCACCAAGTTAACTATAGTTGGGACAGGGTCTGTGGTTTAGGGATTATGTACAGTTTCATAATTCTCACATACCAGCTTCAATTCCACTGCTGACAATTTGGCTGACAATTTGGCAGCAGATCACTATGCTTAATTTCAACACTGGCAAGAGTGTCAAAACCTTTAGAAACCGATGCAAATGTATTTATTTATCTTCTTACATTTGCTCTCTTCCATCAAGCTTGCTAGCTGTCATAATGTTTTTGACTGTATTCCTTACAACATGTTCAAAACATACTGACTGTCCACATCTAATTTAGAATGGTAATGCCACAGGAGTTAGAAGCTTCCTGAAAGCATCAAAGTCTTGGATTTAAATCAAGTGAGCTGAGTTTTTCAAATAACTGACTTCTGCTTTATTATTAACTCTTTCAGCCTTAGGTAGTTATGAATTCAACAATGCAGGTGCTTAAAATTTTGCATCCTAGCACAACTATTTTTTTAGTCTCATAGAGCCGAAAAACACAGCTTTTGGAATGTAACTGTTATAGTAAGTAAAAAAAAAAGTAAAGGACCCTTTTCCACGCCTTTAGGCGTATAGGGCATATAGGGCTAAACCTAAATTTTTATAGACCAATCGGCACAAGATGGGTGATGTGGTCAGCATCACGCCGGCCGCCTTTACTTTCCCGGGACTGCACCCGGTACCCACTCAAGGCTGGGTCGACCTGGGAGCCAAGGTCATTTTTGAAATAAGTCCGGCTCAACTGTTATAGTAACGACTGAAATATAAGAGTTTAACATAAAGAATGGGGCAGCAGTCTTAATTAGAAACTCAATTAGCCAAGTACTGTCAGAAGCACAATAATTTCGAAGCTTAACATCCTTGGGAAATAAAAGTGAAGAAATGTCTAGCAAATACATTCTTTCCTTCTCCTCTATCATTCTGCTGTATTCTTCTTCAAGTCCATGCCGTGTGGCGTTGTCTATATACAACCTTCGTGTACTTTCAATCAACTCTGACATAGATGATCCTCCATGCCATGATGTCTTCTTCTTCTTCTTTAGTTCGCCTGAAATCCACTGTTGTTTTTTCTGGCCAAAAGGTTTGCCTTAATGTGTCAAATTCGGTGCAGTCCTGGAGTGCATGCTCTGCTGTCTGGGGCACCTTTCCACAGGTGCACATGGCTGATACACCTATCTTGAATTTTGTGTACATGTGGTTAGGTAATCGGTTGTGCCCTGTTCTGAGGCGGAGGATAATGACTTGTTCTGGTCTGTCCATAATAAAATAGTCATCTTGTGCTGGGGCTGTTGGTTTTATGATTTTATTATTCTTTTCTTTTGGTGGTATGTGACAGGTACATCCGGCAACACTTTTGTCGCACCTTCCCCTGCCAGTTGATCAGCTTTCTCATTTCCAGGCACTACACAGTGAGACGGTATCCACTGCATTACGACTCTTCTTGAAGGCTAAGTTGTGTCAGCAGTGTTTGCAATTCTGGTAGTTTCCTAGACTGGAGTGCTTCAAGTACGAATTTAGCATGTGTCAGCATTACAACATACTGTGAGCCAAGATTGGTATTTAGCAGTTTCTCTGTTGCTATCTTGATAGCTTGAGTTTCTGCATCATAGTTATGGCAGTACTTCCCGGCTGGTACGCTGGACTTATCCCTAGTACCATCTGGGAATTCTATGTACACTCCAGCAGACCATTTGTAACTGCACTTTTTGCGGACCCATCTGTATAGACTCTGACCTATTGTTCTTGTGGGTATTCTTCATCAATATAACTAAGGGTGGCCATTCTGCGTTGTACACTATCTTGCTCTTTCTTGTCAAATATCCCTTTCACATTTGTCTGGATTTGTACTGTTAGTTTGAATTTTTCTCTCCATGGGGTTTTTCAAATAACTGACTTCTGCTTTATTATTAACTCTTTCAGCCTTAGGTAGTTATGAATTCAACAATGCAGGTGCTTAAAATTTTGCATCCTAGCACAACTATTTTTTTAGTCTCATAGAGCCGAAAAACACAGCTTTTGGAATGTAACTGTTATAGTAAGTAAAAAAAAAAGTAAAGGACCCTTTTCCACGCCTTTAGGCGTATAGGGCATATAGGGCTAAACCTAAATTTTTATAGACCAATCGGCACAAGATGGGTGATGTGGTCAGCATCACGCCGGCCGCCTTTACTTTCCCGGGACTGCACCCGGTACCCACTCAAGGCTGGGTCGACCTGGGAGCCAAGGTCATTTTTGAAATAAGTCCGGCTCAACTGTTATAGTAACGACTGAAATATAAGAGTTTAACATAAAGAATGGGGCAGCAGTCTTAATTAGAAACTCAATTAGCCAAGTACTGTCAGAAGCACAATAATTTCGAAGCTTAACATCCTTGGGAAATAAAAGTGAAGAAATGTCTCTGGTAATAGATAATACTGGCCTGTTATTCGGAGGCAATCCTAGTTTTGCAGCGATTTGTTCCTCGGCAGGCACTTTGCATTTTACACATGACTGAGGCCCTGTTAGAGTATTTGTTTGGCCGATATAATATGGGGATGAAGTTCGGAGAAGAGCCTAATAATATATTACGCCCCCGAAAACAGGCGGGAAGAGGCATTTAAAAAATGAGTCCCGTATTAGGAGGGGTTATGTAAATATCAATTATACTAGTTACAATCATTTTACTCAGTTTATTAGTAAATTACTACAGATTACTATGTAGTATGTTGTATAGGCTATCCTCCGAATAACGGGCACTAAAGATGGCGGCCGCAAAATATCCTTTCGAGCCGCAGCAGTCACGTGTAAATTGCGCACTTCCAGCAACTTAATTTGCAGTTTTCCGTTGACTACCGCCACCGCAACGAGTCCCCCACGCCGCTCACATGGCGTGGATTGGGGCTAAATTAGATGGCTAGGACCCACGAGCAGCAGCTTCCGCATCTCCTGCAGCTTTGCTTGTGCGTCCTAGCCATGTTTAGCCCCAATCCACGCCGCGCGAGCGACGTGGGGGACTCTTGGTGGTGGCGGTAGTGGCCGGAAAACCGCAAATTAAATCACGTGACTGCGGCTCAAAAGGATATTTTGACGCAGCCATCTTTAGTGAACGATATTCGGAGGATAGGCGTTGTATACTATATTCTTAACTGTGTAATTTGTGATTAAAATTAATCAATTATTTTATAACTTATTAATAATAATAACATTGTTACCACAAACAAAATAATTATAAATTTTAAGTCGAAGGAAATCGTTTAAATTAATGCACTTCTTACTTACATTAGAAGAAAGATCTGTTGTAGCAATGTAGAGATGTTGAATGTTGTTTTCTTATTCTACTGACAGTAAA